AAAAAATAAAGGAAGAAAGATATTAAAAATATGAAAGTTATGTTAAGTGAAATAAGCCAGGAACAGAAAGAGAAATACCTCATGTCCTCACTCATAATTGGGATCTAAGAAACAGAAAAAAAGAAATACCATAGTAAAACGTTGAACTTTCAGGAGAGAACAGACCTATAGTTACTAAAGGTGGGAAAGGGAGAGGAAGAGGGATTAGAGAATAATTGTGTAAGAAACACAAAGAATAATTATGATTTGTAATGATGAACATTTTAATAATATTGACTTGATCATCATATACTGTACACAAATACTGATAGTCAACTCTTGTACCTCATAAATATGTATAAATAAAAATAGAAAAAAATAAATTTAAAAAATTATGAAAGGAAATGTAGATACAGAACAGAGAACAATGATTCAAATTAAAACTTATTGCTGTTCTCCTGGGGGTGGGTGTAATTTGGGGGAGGGTGGTAGCAGCTATAATAATTAAGGAAATAATTACATACAAGGGTCTGCAAAAGGCTAACTGAAACCTAGAGAAAATCAGTTAATCAGACTCACCAAAAGACTTGCTAAAAACTTGTTTGGACTTCGATGGAAGAGAAAACCATACTAAAATATCAAGGCAGAAAATCCAAGTTACAAATAGAGGAATGAAGTTATAATGACTTCATATTTTTTCTTTTAAACAGAGGACAGATGAAAGTGTAATGAATGAAGGTTGTATATGGAATAATTTGTGGCCAAATAATTTTATACCTTTCCTAAAGTATACCACTCATAAATGACATAGTGCAGTTCCTAACATCATCACTGTTAAATAAATGTTAGATTTACTAAAGACAAAATCCATAGAAACTCACAGTATAAAAAAATTGAAAACGAGCATGCAAACAAGTTAGATACTGATTATAGTTTAAATATTATAAAACTGGGTGAAACATAAATGCAATATCAAAAGTCATTCTCATATGTCCAAATTATACTAATAAGATGAGAATGTAGGTTAAAAGGAGTATACAGGAAGCACACAAATTCCTCAACTGAGAGATTCATAAGATTTCAATTTTTTGACTCTAATGAATAAATAACTACAGGCTTAGAAAGATATTGAAAACCTTATGTTAACCACTGCACTATGTAAAACAGTACAAATAAATTTCTACACATTAAAAAATATAAAAGTATAGCCAACAGTGTGTATATACAAAACAGTGTTTATATACAGATTTCACCATATAAAAGAAATGGAAAAGGAAATATTGAAACTAAAAAGCATAAAAAAATGATAAAATTACAGTAGAGAAAACATATCTATGATATATAAACAGTTATGCAACTGTGTAAAGCCTGCCTATGAAAAAAGCAAAGAATTTCAGCTTTAAAAAAAAAAAATCAACAATGAGATATTTGAAAAAGGTACAAAGAATATTTTAAACAAATGGAGAGGTAAGTATATTCTACACAAAATAAAGGCATGGTGGTACAGTGCTTGCGTATTGCAATAATGGCTCTGATTTATCACCCTTTCCTGAATCCCTGCCATTTGTCTTATAACTTTGGGGTATTCTCCCATCATAACTGGGTGACTTGCCCCAGTACCTTCCTTGGATACCAAAATCCATGGATGCACCAGTTCCTGATATAAAACAGCATAATATCTGCATATAACCTATGTACATCCTCCCACATACTTTAAATCATCTCTAGATTAATTATAACAATGTAAATGCTATGTAAATAGTTGCTATACTCTATTGTTTAGGGAATAATAAGGAAAAAAGGCTGTACATGTTCAGTACAGACAAATTTTTTTTAATATTTTTGATTAGCAGTTGGTTGAATCCACAGATGCAGAACCCACAGGTACAGTGGTCTGACTGTATAAGAAAGATGAGAAAGATATCAAAACATGACAACCAATTAAACACAAAGGAAGGAAGTAATGGAGAAAACGACAAAGAAAGTTTTAAGATGTACAAAAAACTAATAACAAAATGGCAAAAGTAAGTGCTTCCCTATCAATAATTTTAAATGTAGATGGATTAACCCCCTGACCTCAGCAACAAAATATGCAAAACATAGCAACCCAAGTATCCATCACCAGAGGAATGTATAAACAAAATCTGGCTTATATGCAAATGTAATATTATTCAGCCTTAAAAAGGAAGAAAATTCTGACACATGCTACAACATGGAATAACTTTGAAGGCATTATGCCAAGTGAAAATAAGTCAGCCATAGGAGGACAAATAGTCTATGATTTCACTTATATGAGGTAACTAGAGTAATCAAATTTATTATAGAGACAGAAAATAGAATGGTGGTTCCTATAGACTGGGGGAAAAGGAGAAATGAAGAGTTATTGTTTAATGAATACAGAGTTTCAGTTTAGAAAGACAAAAAAGTTTTGAAGATGGATAGCGATGATGGTTATATGAATGTGAGCATGAGAGTGTGAATGCAGTTAATGCCACTGACTGTACATTTAAAAATGGCTAAAACACATAAATTTTTATGTATATTTTACCACAATTATGGATATATTACCCCAGACTTGCTTTACTTCTATGAACAACTAGAACAGTAGATAGAATATTTGAAAAATAAAAGTTTAGACACTATACAACAAGAAGCACAGCATTGTTATCCCTGAACGAAGAGAAACAAACTATTGGAACCCCAAAATCCAATAGCTTTCTGCCTGGAGGCAGTTTCCAGACTGCAGTGGAAAAAGAGCAAGCCCAGTCAGAGTATGGAGGTCTTGCCAAATTGGGGAGAAACCAGGAAGTTTGGGAAGGCTGAGGAAACTAGAATTTGAATGGCAAAGTGCTAGAGAGAAAGGAGCCATGCAGAGGAAGAGCTCTGAAATCTGCAGTGGTCCCTCTTGTGTCTCCTGCTGGACAAAAACATGCTGCTGGACAAAAACATGTGCACGCATAGGATGAAGCCACAAAAAGCTATAAACTGAACAATTCCAGAGGTCATACCAGGCTGGGAGACACTGAAGTTTTAACTAGCTAGGGTAGAGAGACCTCAATGAAGAGCAGGGACATTCATTAGAGACCATAGAAGGGTCAGACCTTAGTTGTAATGGTCTAAGATAGCTCTAGATAGAAGAGAAGTTAGGCCCATTGTTTTCTCCCTCTCATTCTCTCAGCTCTTGATTCACCCTCATTCTCTGGCGGGTGATAGGCTATGTGCATAAATATTGAGAAAAAATACTAACAATCTTAAGGTAAGGAAGGCTTTCTCATATAAGACACAGTAAACATGAAAAAAAAAAAGAAAAAAACAGATAAATTGGACTTTGTCATAATACAACATGTCTGCTCCTCAAAGGACACTACTGAGAAAGTGAATATGCAGGCTTGCAATATGTACATCTGAAAAGTACTTGTATCCAGACTCTGCGTGTGTGTGTGTGTGTGTGTGTGTACACACATTTATATGTACAGTAGGAAGAACACTAGAATTTTAAAAATTAGCAAAAGAATTGAAAACTTTTTTTTTTTTTTTTTTTTT